GCAGGAGGATTATGAGTTCAGTGTCAGCCTAGGCAACGTAGCAACTTATAGTAACCCTGTCTCAAAATTCAAAAAAATATATTTAAAGGTGATGCAGGTCAGTGCAAAGGCCTTCAGTTCAATCCCCAGTACAGCAGAAAACAAAACGAAATAGAAACACTTAAGTGTTCAACAATGAGAAGCATTAAAATAGTAAAACATACACTAAGTATGAGGTAGTCAAGAGGTTTTGTAATAATCAATAAATATAGAATTATTCCATTTTTGTAGAAAGTGTAAATATATATCACATTTTGTGGAACTGTGCTGTCTTGTTCTCGATTTATATGCTTCTCTGAATTTTCTCAATCCATTGGCCTCTCAGTTTAACAAAGAGTCCTAGATGGACAGTGATGTAATCAACTTGAATGAGTTCAGTGGTGAAGGATTTGGAAGCATCTAGGCAGGGGTTACACTGGGGACAAGACAGTTCTTGATGATGCTCAGATCACATCCCACTAGTTCTGTTCACATACTTGGGAAGGACCAGAATGTGAAGTTGACCAATCAGAGGAAAGAGGTGAGTTCAATGTGTTCTTTTCTTATAGCTCACATTTCCTTTCTTACTAGTAATTTCAATGAAGGAAAGAAGCACCTGGACTTGGAATGATTGAGATATCACCCTGAAATTCAGCACCATTGCCATTTAGAATCATTGCAAAGCATTTCAAAGCCTGTGCCTGTGCCCTAAGCAGACTGACTCTATATCTACTCACAGTCATCACCTAAGATGTTCTCTTCAGTATTCCTTGAAAGCAAATCCTTCTGAGTCTTTCCTTTTATACACATAATCCCCCTCCATTCCACCTCAAATCTAGGTGGCATTACATTTTGTTGAGGAAAAGACAATGAAGGATAAGATTAAAGATGTCTTAGTCAGACATATCAGAATATAGCAAATTTGCTCAAATTCTGACTATGCAAATATTGACATTAGCATCCTTTTAGAAAAATCCACCTAAATCTATATTAACAGTCTGATGCAGATGATCAAAGTCAAACATTATTATCTTTTATAATAAGCTTCTGTTGCCAGGGTTACAGATTCCCTTTTCTTATCTCAGTGGTGGAAATTAAAAAAACATAATTCTTTTTAAAGAAACCTCATATGTATATTTTACAAAGTGTGGCTGAAATTAGTTATATGAGATTACTAAACTGGGGGAAAAAATTTTAGCATCTGAAAGTTGGTGGAGCTCCCGCAATATATGAGGCACTAGTCTGTATACTTTCTGTTATGGTTTGGATATAAATGTCTCCCAAAAGTCTCATATTCAGTGGCAAGGGTGTGGAAGGTGATTTGATCATGGGGCGACTACTCTCGGCATTGGTTTAATTCATAGTTGAATGTGCTATTGTGAAGAGGGGCCTGGTGGAAAAGCCAGGTCACTGGGGGTGTGACCTAGCAGGATACATCCTTGTCCCTGGCTCCTTCCCTATCTCTGTTTTCTGGCCACCTCGGGTGAACAATTTTCCTCTGCCATGCCCTTCTACTATGTCAGTTCTTCCTTGGAACCAGGCAACCATGGTCTGAAATCATTAGCTCCAATAAACCTCTTTGCTTCTTTTAAGTTATTTGTCTCCACAATTGGAAAGTGAATAAGACATAGTCCAAGCCTAAATACTTTTAAATCATAAGAAAAATTGTGTATGCTAAAGGAAGGTTAGCAAAGGTCTGCTTTGTACAAGTCTAATGACATTAAAAACAAACATTCTAAAAACCTATGTTTCATTTCCATATTAGATTAAAAATTCTCAAAGAACAATAAATTTTAGGTTTACAGAAAGAAGTAGATACTTCGAGAGAACAATAGTGTTCCTTCATTAATTACTGTGGCTCCTTCCATGGAGAATAATATCTGTAACGGTGATCTTTTTAACCAAAAACTTTACATTAAAGTTTCTTTCAGCAAATAAATTTTCATCTGGGATCCCTTCCTAGTAAATTCTCCCTCGAACACATGACTAACCCAGAAGCTATCATGCTACTGACTTCTTTTCCAGGACTGTACACGTAACCCAAGTAACCCATTGGATCCCTTTTCTGGAATATAGGACTTGAAAGAAAAGTCTGTAGGTAACACCTACTTTGGTCACTGAATGTTTAAGATGAGGAACCAGGGAGCTATCAACAGCCAAGAAGAGAAAAAAACTGTACCCCAAAAAAGCATAAAGCAACATGCAGAGAAAAGAAGAGGGAGCCAAATGGCACTTCACCCCCAGTCTGAGGCCCAGCTGCTCCCTTCCTCTTCTTGCTGTAATGTTCTCTCCATGAAGTCCTCTCTTTGGCTCAAGCTACTTCAAATCAGGATTCTATCATTTGTGCCTGAAAGACTTCTGACTAATTCATCATTTTTTCCTTATAAATTCTCCCACCAAGTCTTTTCCTTTTCTTAATGATTTCCAATTATCTAATTGTATCTTCTTTAAGACAATTCACATTTTCTTAAAATATAAACCAAAAACACACGTATTATATACTATAATGATGGACCTCAGGTTTATGGACCAAAGTTTGTATTTATTAGATTGTGATAGCATTAGGCATCACATCCCTCAGTAGAAATTTAAAGCTGTTATCCTATCAGCCTAGAAACCCACAACAATAATCATTTTAGACACACTCTGAAATGTGCCAATTACATTTCTTTTCAAATTTACTACTAATTTTCAATAGATAAGTCTTTATTTTCTTTCCAATTGTAATGGATATTAGACATTTGTCTAGTATTTTTCTTTTTTTTTTTTTTTTTTGGTCCGGGGATCAAACTTGGGACCTTGCACTTGCAAGGCAGGCACCGGAACCACTGAGCTAAATCCCCAGCCCTTTGTCTAGTATTTTTCAAAAACCTTTTTCTTTAGATACTGGTGATCGAACTCAGTGCTTTTTCACTGAGCTACAGGAGGTGATCAAAAATATGATGAATATTTAAACTAAAACAGCAAAAGATACTTTGCCATTAATCCCTCTCAAAATACCCACACTTCAAACACACTTAACCCAATATTCAATATTCTTGACACTTTCTGAAGCAGTTCTGGAAGTCCTCTTTTTTTTTTGGTACTGGGGATCGAACTCAGGTCCTTGCGCTTGTGCTGGAAATCCTCTTTTGAGAATGTCTTTATAAAGTATGATCAAAAACTGGCTAGTGCTGCTACTGAGTGCCTTCCAACAAAGGGGCAGGTTCATAAAAACGTCACAGTGTGTCCTCATCTACCTTACTCACCAGATCTACACCATGCCACTTCTGGCTCATCCCCAGGGTCAAAATGACCATGAAAGATAAATATTTTCAATCAATTCAGAACATTATGGCAGCCACAACAAAGCAACTAAAAACACTCACAAAGAAAGAACTCCCAGAACTACTTCAGAAAGGGGTAAAAACAATGAGATAACTGTTCAAACCCAAAGGGAGTATTTTGAGGAAGATTAATAGCAATGTACCTTTCACTGTAGAGATTTTTGTTAAAAACACTGTATTTTTCAATCACGCCTCATACATCTACAGCCATTTTTTTAAATTCTTATTTTTGACATGGGGCCTCATTAATTCCCCCAAGCTGGGCTTGAGCTTTTCATCTTCTTGCCTCAGCCACCCAGAGTGCTGGGTTGCAGGAGTGCACCACCATACTGAGCTAGTACTAAAAAGTTTATAACACTTTTCACATGTACTGTTATGTGTGAGGGTCTCAAAAACTGTGGAAAAAATAGAGCAGATATTATTTGCATTTTTATACTACTCATGGTAGGGCTAACTGTTGCAATTCATAACACCAAAACTAGTGATTCAAAACAACAAAAGATTATTTTTTGCAGACACGGAATCTGATGCAAACCAAGCAGTCCTCAGAGAGACCCTCTAGGTGTCACCATCCTCACTAGCAATACAGTAAGAGGGGAGGGAATGGGAAGGGACCGTCAGAGATCCAATGTCCCCAGAAGAGACAAGCAGCAATTCCTCTCACATCCCATGGGTCAGAACTAGCCATGTAGGCTTGGCTAAGTCACAGACTAGAGTGAATGTAGTCGGTATTTGAAGCACTTACACCAATCTATTTCCTTGACTTTTGGATGGCGATTCCCATTTAGTCCTAACGTTGTTAAAACCAATCACAGTGGCATTGACAGGTGACATTGGTTATCCATACTTCTACTCACCTTATTCATTCACCCTTTAAGGACCCTTCTTAGAAAATCTCCACACAAGGAATGTAAACACTGTGTACTGCAAACATGTGCCAGAAAACAAAGGGAGGAAGATCATGAGATGGGGGGAGGGGGAGGGAGGGAAGAGAAAGGTAATGAAAAAGTCATTAAGGTGTATTGTGTACATGTGCCAACTTCCCACAAGGAATGAAAACATCATGTACTGTACACATATACTAGTAAAATAAAACAAATTTTTTAAATAGAGAGATAAAATAATATGTGTACAATTAATAAATTAATAAAAATAAAATAACACAATCAAGAAAAAAAATCTCAATTATTTTACTATTTCTTTTTTTTTGTTACTTCACCTCTTTCTCATCCTCCCCACCACATTAATACTTTCTCTATTTTTCAGTGAATTAGTATTTATACACTGAGTGTATTTTACAAAGTTCTGTATCCCCTGGTGGGACATGAGCACACTGAAAGCAATTTACTACTTTATGTGTCTGGTACACAAAAAGTGATCAGGGAATGTTTGTGACAGGAAAGACTTTCTCCACATCTGAGTTAATTCAACATTTTGACCTCTCTCTTACAGGTTAAACTTCATTTTCCCTCCATTAATAAGGAAAGCCAGAAATAGAGATCCATAGCACATATTTCAAATATTGAAATGTAAGCTTGTATTTTCCTATATTTACCATACCTTTATGATTCTTGCTCAGTGGCAGTAACAGTCCCCCCTTTTTAAAATGTTTGTTTAATCCTACCATTCAGCAGCCTCAAGAGTCAGAGAGCCTACCTTAGTTCTAAGTTGATGCTTGGGTGAGCCTTAAATCTTCCTGTTTCTTGACACTGTGCTGAGACAAATTCTTCGATTCAGGAAAACTGCATACTCTGTGGAATAAAGCTGAACCAATTAATCAAATATTTAATTATATCGTAACAGAACACAGCTATCAAGCTTTTAACTAACAATGGTAAAGAGTCCCCAGTGACCCAGGCAACAGAAGACTCCAAGACTGCTTAAAACTCAGTTCTTCCATTCCCAGTGGAAATGTGCAGAAGGGCCTGGAATGGTTCAGCACCAAAAAGCTAAGACTCAGACAGGCCAGCCCTGGAGAGCAGCCCTTTCCCTTGGACACTGCCGAGAGGCTCACAAGCACTGTCCAGAATGGCCTGGTAAATTTTTAACCACCTTGTATATCTTGAAACAATTCTTATTCCTTTCTCTCTTGTCTCCCTTCTCACCCTTAGAGTCCATGTTCAAAAATCTAAACAGCATCATCCTGATATTTTAAGGCACACTATCTTGAGGGCCATATAACACCAAAAGAAACCATCCTACCATCCTAGTCTTGGCTGATCATAAATAAATTTAGAATCTAAAAAAATGATACCACATATTTATTTGGTCTTCTTACTCTCCACAACATACATGGATATCTGGAATCTCCTCCCCTTTGTCTCTTTCCCTTCTTATCTACTTTTCAGCTTTAAATCCAAAGTCCTGGTTCAATTTTCTACCGTCTTCTGTACTAATCCAGAGAGGCAGATTCCTCTCCCACCTGGTAGGGTGAGGCTGGGCATAGATGCTCTTTAGGTTAGAGATCTCATAAGATAACCCAATTCTTTTCTCATTAATATTGAGAGCATGTTATGGCATGACCTGGATGGATTTCTGTGCTTCAACAACCAGGGTGGAAATGGGAACAAGTCCTATTCTACCGCAAAAGTGTTTTTTACTCACTACAATCAAGAATGAAAAAAAAAATAGGTCAATCCAGCATAACTCTCTCTCATACATAACTCACATACACTTTCCTGAACTATCTCTTCTTCCCAATAAGTGTGTCAAGAGTTGTCTTTCAGATGTGACAGAGTGAAGATGTCAGAATAAGGTTTAATTCTGAAGAGATCTGAAGACTGCATTATAGTTCATTTATTTTTTATGTTATTCTTAAGATGTTGAAGTTCCTACTGTATTTATTCATGTCACAAAGTCTTACAAAGGATTTAAAAAGTATCAAGTTTCACTTCTAGCTCTTTAGGAGAAAAGCAATACAATGATGCTTAAAATCATTTAATAATTTCTAATTTTCTATACAGTTTAAAATCCCAATGGCTTAGAAGAGTATGATAGATTATTGTTCCGGTACTTTACTCCTTCACTGTAAAAGGAGTAAACTTCTACACACTTATCATGTGTTTTTTGCAGGGCCATCATGTAGAATAAGCAAAATATACATTACTGTTAGCACCAAAGAGTTTTCAAAAGAGGCATTTCCTGTACCCTTCAGGATAAGCCTGTGCCATAAGAACAACACATCTTACATATTAGTTCTTCCTTTAGCTTGGGTCTGGAAATTAAAAGGCACAGGTAGCTGAGTGAACCCAAGACAATCCAAACCATGTCAGACCCAGCTAGTGCTACAGACAACTGAACCCTTCATGTAACATGAACAATAAATATCTCCTGTGCTATGCCCTCAGTCTACTCAGTACCTTTCTTTCTCTGTGTTTTTTCTCAATAAAATATCCCAGCCAGGAATACACATTCTAGTAGAAAAAACACAGGATTTGAAGTCAAATAAGTGAGGTTTTAAAGCCAACACCCTCATTTTAATAACTTGTAACTCTTGTATCTGTCTGAGCTTCAGTGTCACTGTACAGATTTAGGGGAAATAATGACAAAAATTATATACTTTAACATCAAACCAGCTCATAGTCTCTGTTAATCATTATTTTGAGCCAATTACTTTGCACCTCACTTTCATAACCTGTGAAATGGTGATGGTGTGGTTAGGATGATCAAGGGACATGCAGTTGGGAAATCTGTTAGTGTAGCACCTGACACTCAGTAGATCTTATCATTTTTATTAGATAAAACTTAAGTACAAATCTAAAGTACACAATCTGATAGAATAAAGTATCCATAAAGCAGTTTTAAAGTGTGTCAGATTAATATACATCTATTTTGCTCAATATATCATAAAGTATTTTGCAAGAAAATATTTCCTTAATGGATATAAATAGTTTCTGCTCTGTGTGTGTGTATATGTGTGTGTGTGTGTGTGTATATATATATATATATATATATATATAAAATATTTTCAATACAAGTCCAGCCTACAAGTCAAAAGTTCTTAACCTGTGACATGGGCATAAATGTGAGCAAAGACATCAAAGCAATCCCAGGATACCCTGACTCTCTCTCTAATTGAAGGCTACATTGGTCAGCTATTTTCATACTAGCTTCTAGGATTTTCAGAGTGGTTTAGCAATGGTTTGTTATCTTTTCTCAGTAAAGATAATTGGGTACAAAAATGTATGAAAATGACTGAAAAAAGTTGCCTTAAAATATTACTTCTCTATTATACAAATACTTCATAAAGAACCCTAGCTGAGATGTCACTATAGATAGAATAAGTATGGATTGTCACCACCTAATTCAATGTCAAATTGGGAACATTACTACTCTTTCCATATTTGTGATGAATGACTTAAAGATGATGACATTGAGTCTTACATAAAAAATTATGTACATAACATTGTGTCATTAGGGCTTAAATACAGAATCCATTTCATAAAAGCTCACACCCCTCAAAGATAATGTATATTTTTTCTTTTTGATTATTTCTTCATGGTTGGCTACTATTAATTTTGGAAGAGAATATCTCAAGGAGAAGAAGAAACCTGACACCAAACTCTGGAGATTCCATTTAATACTGGAATTCCATGCAAAGCTGTCATTCTTGCACTCCATCCTCACTGTTATCCCTCACTCCTTTTCCACCCAGAGAGAAAACAGATGCAAGACATTGGCAAAGTGCATTCTGTTTATTTCTTGAAGAATTAATTTTTGGACCATCCTCCCAGCCCCTTTGCATTGGGAAGGTAATAGTCTCTTCCTCCTTTGCCAGATATAATAGCTTCTCCAGCTTCCTACATTCCTTTATCCCTACACACACACACCTGGCAATGAGACTCGTCCTAAGCTAAACCAATTAGGTTGCTTACCCGTATAATTGGAAGGGGAATCTAGGAAGCAGACTGAGTTCTTTATAGTAGAGAAGATGCAAGATGGCCATTCGTGACATTTTCTCTTCCCTCAGTTTAAGAAATAGGAAAAAAGAGTCATGAAGAGGGACAAAGCAAAGCTTTCCAATGAGGAAAATTTCCAGGAACTACTGTTCATGTTTCTAATTACATGCTAAGGCCTATTCACAACCCTGTCCTTGCACTCTTTGTGAAGCTTCTGTACCCTTATAATAAATACATCTCTTCCCCTTTTAAAGCTAGTCCAAATCTGTTATTAGAATTTATTCAATGGTAGTTTAATGTTTGTGAGCCTTTTCAAGTTCAGCAGAGACAGCACATAACTTAATAGCTTTTTTTACCTCATTTTCACCTGAAAAATTAGATTTATAATGTATCCCAAGAAATGCCATACCAAATTTACTCAAATTTTTATGGAAACGGTGAGCAGAAACATGAACTGCTAAATACTGGGCTGAAATAGGGGCCCTCTTATGTACCTGCAATCTACAGTTCTTACAGCAAAAAGCACAGTGCATGTGACCACTCTTGGTTTCTCCACAGAAGGAATGGGCTGTAGCAGCAGGCAGGTATGCTTGGACCCACATTCAACTGGGTCAATTGTCATGTAAAACAAGGGAGTAGAACAGGACTCGGTCCACTTAAGGCCATCATTGCTAATGAACCAAAATCTGACAGCAAACGTTGCTGTGATTTATTCCACAGAAATAGGTCCCTGCCCTAGTCGCCTCCTCCTGGGCCTCAGCCCGACCCCCATCTTCACAATAGAACTAGATTTTATACTTTTCATTTCATCCAACTCAACTCTTAGCTTTATAATGACTTTAACTGTTCAATATTTAATGAATCAATTAATTAAATAACATTTATTATGCTGTAGGACTGTGGTTCTTGTATTTTAGAATGCATCAGAATTACCAGGAGAGCTTGTTGGAAACTCCAGGCGCCCACCAACCTGGTGATTCTGACTCAGTCTAAATCTCACTCTGAAGGGGGAGCAGGAATCTCATTTTTAACAGTCACTTCTGCTGTATCTGATCTTGGTTGTCTGTTGACTACATTTTGGGACACATCAACCTAAGGATATAGTTTTATCAGACTATATGCTTTGTAGGTAGCAAGAAGGTATAAACCCTGGTTTATTAATTACGAGCTGTGCGTTTGGAGGCAAAATAGTAAATGCTCTGAAACTCTGTTTCCTCATATGTAAAGTGAGTAAGACAATATCTAAGTCATAGGGTTATTGTGGACATTATGTGAGATAATATAAATGAAGTCTATATTGCAATTTACACTGCTTAGTGCTCTTGTTAATGTTATGTGCCTCTTCTCCATCAGCCAACAGCTCAGGAGCAACTGGAGAGAAGACTTGGGCTCTGCTAAAAGAAACAAGAAAAATCCAAGAAAGCATATATGCATCCCAGACCATCCATGCCTGGGAAGTACAGGACAACAATCTGAGATAAAATGGTTTGACTCAGGAAATGCTGACACCCTCCACTTAAGCCACCCCAGGAGCCACCCTGAGAAAAGGGTCTATGTGAAGGTAAACAGAAGAGTCGTTGCTATAAGGGAGACCAAAAAAATTCCCTCTGAGACAAGTGATACTTTACCACCTAAATGCTCCTGAACCTAGAACCATTTACAGGAGATATATATAT